ATGCATGAAGATTATTTTATTACGGAAAGCATAGTTCTTCCTTCTGTACCAGGGAAGAAAGAGGTCAGTCAGAAACTCCACATACTTTGCAGAGGTCATCTTTACACCTTTGGGGACCCTAAAGGGGCTGAACAGCTCTCTTCCCATGATTCTGGCCCAAAACATGACTCCACCACCGCCTTGCTGACATCGCAGCCTTGTTGGAACAGGGTGGCCGTCCACCAACCATCCACTACTCCATCCAACTGGACCATCCAGGGGTATACGGCACTCAGTGAACAGGACTGAGTGAAAATTAGTCTTCATGTATTTTTCTGCCCAATGCAGCCGTTTCTGCTTGTGAGCATTGGTTAGTGATGACTCTGGAGGACTCTACACCTTGATGTCCGTGGGACTCCAGAGGCACCAGCAGCTTCATATATCTGTTTGCTGCTATGTAATGGTATCTTCCTCAATGTGCCTTTATCTGCACAAACCTGTCTGTGCTCTGAATCAGCCACAAATCTCTTAATAGTGCGATGATCATGCTTAAGTTTTCGTGAAATATCATATGTTTTCATACCTCGTCCAAGGCATTGAACTATTTCACTCTTTTCGGCAGCAGAGAGATCCTTTTTCTTCCCCATATTGCATGAAAATGGTGCTCTGCTTAATAATGTGGAACACCCTCCTTTAGTAGTTTTTCCTTAAATTGGGCTCACCTGGCAATCTAATTATCACAGGTGTCCGAGATTGTTTTCAGTTATCAAAAGAGCCCTGAGACACAATGCCATCCATGAGTTAAACTGAAAACCAAAATATTTAATCTTTGTGACACTTAAATAGAATTTGCATAATAATTTGGAACAGGGTGTATAAAGGTAATTTTGTACTTATTCACTGTATCAGCTCCTTAGGTGTTATCACCTGGCACTTTATAGAGTTTACTCACAGGCACTTTTTTTTTTTTAAATTGTGCACTTTGAGTGGAACTGGTAGAGGGAATAAAGTCTACTTAGCAGCACTTTGAGGCACTTTTTTTTTTATATATGCACTTTATCAGTCGATATTACTTTATCTTTTGTAAAAGCAGGGGCTCACCAACTGCAATGGATTCAAGGTATTGGGGCATTAGCAGCACAGGGAAACAGTAGAAAGGGCAAACAGGCTCATCCAAATGGAAGGAAGACAGATGTACAAAAGGCAGTGCTCATCTGCAGCACAGGACACAACCAAACGGCAGAAAATAAATAAATAATCATGTGTATGTCTATATATTTATATATATATATACACACACACATGTCCCAGGTCCCAGCACTCGATGCTCCCGGTCTTTTAATGCTCCGGTGCTGTCTCCAACCAAATTGTATACAATATCAGTAGAGAGCACTCAGGAATCTTTCAAGGTAAATTTCATCTGTTGCTTTATTGAACAATTACAAATTCACACAACATTCTAGTCGACGTTTCAGTATGTAAAATACTTTTTTCAAGACTTCTGAGTGCTCTCTACTGGTATTGTGTATATATATATATATATATATATATATATATATATCTTATTTAAAGATAGCACTCCAAGGACTTTGTAATAGATTTGAATAAAACTTAGCTTTTCAGCTAACTGCCACAGTGGATCAATGTTTCAGTTCTGTGTCAGAACTTTCGTCAGGATAAAGGTGCAATACAATAACCAGTGTTTAAATAACACACCATTCTAATTATTTACATTGTATACAGGTATCACTTACCATTTGCCCCATTTAATTGCTCAAGCTGATCGCAAAAATCATGGCTGAATTTGACCCGGTATTAGAATATACAGCAGCTGTAAGGTATGCTGCTGTGACCTGTGTGCATTCCAGCGGTTGCTGTGGAGATCGGCTGAAACTCAAGAGGGAGTGAGGTATGTTTGAGAGATTTGTCATAGCAACCCGAGGTGGCTAGGCATGCCGGCGATCGCTCTCAAAATATACAGGGTGTGAAGGGATCGGTGATGTGGAGATAACATTGCGACCACACATAATAATTGCTTATGGAACAAATGCAATATCTACACACAGATATTTTACTGATATGAAGTCTTACTTCACTTCTTGCACTAAATCTGGCATACAGCTGAAAAGTCAATGCGTCACAAAGTGGTAGAGATTGGTGTGTAAGATAGGAATGTGTACCTGTGGCGGAACCAATCTCGCCACTGGGCACTGGAGAAGCCTGGTTGCTTGCCTGCTCCCTCTGGACTGTGGCCCCATGTTAAACGTTGTTCTTTTCCCCTTTAGAAAGGCTTGTTTGTGCCTTTCTGCCTGGGCGTTCGGTAGATTGAATCTACCGAACCAACGCATGAATGGGGGGACCACCTGGGCAAGGAGTGTGCCAGTGATTTACCTCCCAGAAGCTGCAGTTAACCGCAGCTGTATTGGTGAACGCTGGGTGGCCGCTGTTGGCAGAGGCCATCTCAAACTCCCGAACGGCCAGCGGTGTTCAGCTCCAAATCTATGGAACTCAAAACGGACACTTATTTGCACGAACACCGCTGAGCCGCCGACCTCCCTTCTCTTGCAAGTCATATGAATGCCGTCCGTTCGGTACTTTCCCTATGTGAGCAGTGTTACCCCAGATAATTATGCCATGGAGCCCATTAGTGTAACGAAAGACTATGTGAAAGACTTTGTCTCCATGGCGATTGAACTGTATGTGATCTGAACGCCATTCGGTAATAATGTGCGCTCAGATCTAAGCTATCTGGGGATATGTTGAATGAATATGTTTTATGTAGTAATTGTAACACTGTGTAATTTTATGTCTTTTTACTAACATGTGGCTAATGGAGTTTTGCCTCTGTCCTTGGAGATAATTGGATTACTTCCCAATTATCTCGAGGATAGAGAGGAGGGATTACAATGTGCATGTGGGAGTGGTTTAGGTTAAACTGTCCTGATTGGTTACTGTCCAGTTTGTGTCCCAGTGTCCCACCAGGTCCCCTATGGGAGTGTCCACCTGGTGGGAAACCTGCATAAATACCGGGCAGGTAGCCCAGATTAAACAAATCACTGCTTGACCCTCAAAACGAAGTGTCGTCTCATTCTTGGGGGGATTTGATTGTATGCTGTTACAGTTCAACTGCAAGGAGTGTAAACAGTTTTTATGGTTTTTCCTGTTTGGCTGTTTACAGTATTCATGTGTTTCCAGTTCAGGAGTTGGAGAATTTGTGTGTTTCCTGTTCGGGAGATTGGTGTTTGCAGTAGCTGCCTGTGTATCTGGAAGGGAATATCCTCTAAATGGCTGTTTAACCCCTTGTGTGCCTGGGGGTGCCGTTATAGTACCTATTCTTGGACGATCAGAAGATTTAAATGGGAGTTATAGATAGACAGAGTTATGGATAAACCTGTATCTCTGCCAGGATGGGGGGATTGTAATGTACAAAACTAGGGACAAAGTATAGGACAGTCCAATTTTTATATAGTTATAATGGGACTAATGTGGTATAAATATAGTATGCATATTTAATATGCATAATTCTTATGTGTACCCACGGAATTAAATGTCTATACCTAAAGTGTTCGTACTTGCCCAAGTGTTAATATCGGCGTGGTCCCTTGACTACCAGAGCTTAAGATATTAACAGAATTTATTATGAAGATGAATAAAAAAGTAAAAGGAATATGTACATGATGGATTGGTAGCCGGTGTGCCAAAAATATAATGTAAGACTATTAGATACTTATAGTCCTATTGTTAAACAGGCTATACATATATAGGAAGAAGCAATGTAGGGAATTAATTTCAAAACGTTAATCAATATGATTGGAAGAATTTCTAGGTATATACTTTGATATATATTTTTAAAGAAACAGACAAAAATATAAGCAAAAAACAAACCAATCTGGGTGGTTTGTGACTTGGAAAGTCTATATTTCATATATTAGATGTATTAAATTATTATAGGTCTGTGATTGGTGTCAAGGAATATGAAGTTAATTCCTGCCTTCATTGATCTAGATCATAAAAAGATTCCAAGTGAATATTTTTCATTAAGTCCTTTAGGATGTATTATGTCCAAAGTTCTTATCCAGAACAGTTCTCTTTGTAACAAAAATTTCTTGCGATCCCAGCCTTTTGCCGGCTGAAGGATATGATCGATTGCCAAGAACTTCATGGAGGGAAGAGGATGATTGTATTCTAGAAAATGTTTGGCCACGGGTAGTTCTGAGCCCTTGTTTCTATATGCTATTCGTATGCTGGAACGATGGTTCCGTATTCTTTTCCCCAGTGGCAAGTCTGTCTTTCCAATGTATGCCAACCCACAGGGGCATTAAAGTTTGTATACCACGTAATCACTAGTGCAAGTTACTCTGTGTCGTATAGTATATTTCCTGCCGGAATGTGGATGAGTGAATATTTTGCTGGGCATCATGTGGCTACTTGTCATGCACCCATGGCATCTGTAGAATCCAAGGTTCTGATGTGTCAATTTTTGATTGTAGTAGTGTATAGGGCCGGTTTTGACAAGTAAATCCCTCAAGTTACTACCTCTGCGGTAGCACATCAACAGGGGATGTTTGAATTGTTTTGGTAGACTTGTATCATTCATCATCATTCTCCAATTTCGAAAAACGGATTCTTTGAGCTTGTATGATATGGTAGTAAATGTTGTGGAGAATACTAGTCTCTAGTTTATCCTTGCATTGTGCGGTCATCTCATATCATTTGTATAGTGCTTGCTGTAAGATATTGTTGTAGCCTCGTGCTCGGAACTTGTCCCACATTTCCTGTATCTGGAGCTGTGTATTAGCAGGATTAGAGATATTCCTCATCACTCTCAAAAGTTGTGATTGAGGAAGTGAGATCTTCAGATGTCTTGGATGGCAGCGATCAGCATGAAGAAGGGTATTTCTCTCCGTTGGCTTATTGTACAGAATGTAGGCTATTTTCCTGTCTTCTTTGTACAAACGTACATCTAGGAAGTCAATTGTCTTGTTGTCTGACTTCATTGTTAGAAGAACTGGAGTATCCAGATTATTAACTGTACAGTTCTGGTTCGTACCGAACATTAGGTTTTTTGGACCCCGGACCCGAACATGGACATATCACTGTATGTTCAGGCTGGAGTTCGGTGTTTGTCGATTTAATGGCGCGTTTTGAAAGGCGGCAGGGCAGCCAATCTACAAGCGTTTGACTCGTGTGCCCTTAGAAGCCATCACAGCCATGCCTACTAAAGGCATGGCTGTGATTGGCCAGCGCAGCATGTGACCCAGCCTCTATATATAAGCTGGAGTCGCGTAGTGCCGCACGCACATGCGGTCTTATTAGTGTAGGGAGAGGATGCTGCCGCTGTGAGGGACAGCTTAGGAAAGAATTCTGCAAACTAGTACATTAGTGGGGTGCACTTCATATCAGAGTCAAATAGAAGCTTCAGATACCGCGGTTACATCAGAGTTTTAAAAAGTAATTTTTTTTTGGTGCTAAATAGTACATTAGTGGGGTAGTACATTAGTGGGGTGCACTTCATATCTGAGAGTCAAATAGAATCATCACATACTGCTCTCACATTGCAGTTTTAAAACTTACATTTTTTTGGGTCCTAAACTGCTAAATAGTATTTTAGTGGGGTGCACTTCATATCTGAGAGTCAAATAGAAGATTCTAATAGTGTGCTTACAGAGCACTTTTAAAAATTCTAATTTTCTGGGTGCTAATCTGCTAAATAGTACATTTGCGGACTGCACTTCATATCTGAGAGTCAAATATAAGTGTCAAATACTGCGGTTACAGTGCAATTGTAAACATTCTAATTGTTTTGGTGCTAAACTGCTAAATAGTACATTTTGGGCGTGCTCTTCATATCTGAGAGTGAAATAGAAGCGTCTAATAGTGTGCTTACAGCGCACTTGTAAAAATTCTAATTGTTTTGCTGCTAATCTGCTAAATAGTACATTTTGGGGCCTGCTCTTCATGTGCTGATGACAAGACACGAGTGGTTTGCATGCTGTGCAATCAGAGCCTGAAGCGAGGCATTAACATGCTAAACCTGAGCACAACCTGCATGACCAGGCATCTACATGCAAAGCACGAGCTACAGTGGGGTAAGCACATCAAAAAGCAAGAAAGGTCTCAGTCTCCTCCTGCTTCCTCTTCTGCTTCTGTCTCGGCCTCTTCCTCCACCTCTGGAGTGACAGTGGCACCTGCCATCCTGCATACAGAGGATGTGGCAGCAACGCCACCACCCCCGCCACCGTCCCCAAGCATCTCCACACTGTCCCATGGAAGCGTTCAGCTGTCCATCTCCCAAACACTGGAGAGAAAGAGGAAGTACGCCTCTACCCACCCGCGATCCCTGGCGTGAATGCCAGCATTTCAAAATTTGTGGCATTTGAAATGCTGTCATTCCATCTGGTGGAGACAGACTGTTTTAATAACCTGATGGCGGTGGCTGTCCCACAGTACGTGGTCCCAGCCGCCACTACTTTTCCAGGCGAGCCATCCCTTCCCTGCACTACCAATTGGTGGACAAAATCAGGTGTGCACTGCGCAACTCCATCAGTGGCAACAGATACGTGGACCAGTAAGCACGGGCAGGGACGCTATATCTCCCTAACTGCACACTGGGCAAATGTAGTGGCGGCTGGGCCTGATGTGGATAGCAGATTGGCGCATGTCCTTCCGCCACTGAGGATTGCAGGGCATTTCTCTTTGCCTCCTGTCACCTCCTCCTCCTACTCTGCTTCCTCCTCCTCAACCACCACCTCATCCAGGCAGCGTAACACCTTCACCACCAACTTCAGCACAGCCAGGGGGAAATGACAGAAAATGACAGAGGGCTGTTTGGGGGGAAAAACCCTCACCGCGCAGGAGCATTGGACGGGCATGGAACTGCAGACTGATGAGTGGTTGTTCCCACTGAGTCTCAAATCCGGCCTGGTGGTGTGCGATAATGGGCGAAATCTCGTAGCAGCTCTGGGCCTAGCCGGTTTGCCTCACATCCCTTGCCTGGCGCATGTGCTGAAATTGGTGGTGCAGAAATGAATGGATGAGGAGGAGGAGGAGGAGATGAATGGATGAGGGGGAGGAGGAGGAGGAGGAAGAGGAGGAACTGTGTTCACAGCAGGGTGGCACCCAACGCACCTCGTGGGCATCACTGGAGCGTGGCTTGGGGGATATGGAGGACACAGACGATACACCTCCCACAGAGGACAGCTTGTCCTTGCCTCTGGGCAGCCTGGCACACATGAGTAAAAACAGAAAATAGAGTCAGCGCTAATATCTCAAAAGGAATACACCAGGCAGCAATCCCAAACAAGGACTCCCTCACGTGTCCTTGAAATAAAATGGAGAAGGCAAACAAACAAGAGATGGGACTGCGCCAATAGGCAAGGTAGGTAAATTAAAGTCCTGATTGAGGTAGTAATAACGCAACAGAGTCCAGTATAGTAGAACTTAGATCCTAGGTTAGTTTCTGTAGTTGTAGGGTTCCACTCCTTGCAGGTATATGGAAGAGGGCAATGAGTGATGGAACCGGTGGTAGTGCAAGGTGATCCAAAAGGTATCAAAATAAAATAGAAGAGATCTTACTCACTTTTTATAGAGCTTAATCCAGCTCTGGTGTGGATAGCTTGCAGCGGTATGATCCCTGCTTGTAGTATATGTGGTGAGTCTCCTCTTCAGTGCAATTCCAGACAGCCACTGGGGAGATAAAACGAAAAACAATAATGGTGCAGTATGTTCCAAAAAATAAATAAAAATGTTAAAATATAGTAGATCCACTCACATTTAATAGCGCTTATACTAGCTCTAGTGTAGTAGGCATACAGCGGTATAATCCCCAGCCTCTTGGATATGTGGTGAGCGTTCTTTTCAATGATTCTTTGAGATGGTGACAGGAGCTCAGGGAGAAGATAATAAAACAGCAATAGTGCTCTCAGTAAAATAATTATGGTACATAAAATATAATAAAATATACTCACAGTATATAGGGCAGACTAACTGCTCTATGACACAAAAATTAAAAATAAAATAAAAATGTGAATAAAAGATAATGGTGCAACAGAGGAAGGGGACCAAAATCTATTTATTAACAATAATAAAAGCAGTACAATATCCAAACGCGTTTCGCCAATATGGGCTTTATCAATGGATTAGAAAAACTTTCAACCTGGCTAGATGGAGTTTATATAGACACGTGATGCGCGTCATAAGCGCGACGTCCCTTCCGGTCGCTTGGAGCTATGGGGCATGTAGTTCTTGAGCGAACTACATGCCTGAGAACAGCTGGCGGCATAAAAGAGACGCATGATGGACTCAGAGAGGGGGGAGTGGCCGGGGACCGAAGGGGGAGGGAGAGGGGAGTGGCCGAAAAATGGCTGTATCCAGAGATAGAAAAGTATAACGAAGGGATGGTCGCGGCGGCCATCTTGGTGGGGGAATGAGTGGTAAAAAACTAAGTAAGAACATAGCGACTGCCATGTTGAGTGTGGCAGGATAAGTTTGTTTTAAAATTAGGTTAAAACACACATAAAATTTGTAAAAAAGATGAGGATGGGGCAAATATGGGGATGCAGTACTACCATATCAATAGAATAGAGCGACATCGATATATATAACATGGCATAATAACAGAAGATAAATAAGTGGAATAAATAAATTAAACCAAAAAGATTAAATAAACTAGTAAAGATATCATAAATAAATGGGAATAAAAATAATCTAAAAGGAGTAAATAAACAATCATGAATAATTAAAATAGAATGTTATATAAAATTAAATAAATCAAAATCAGCATTTAAACCATTAGGGGTTAGAGTTTTTAAGTTAAAAACCCATTCTATTTTTTTTATATTGCCTCCTCTCCATGGAATACTAAATTTTTTTATACCAATACATTTTAAATTACGCAGATCATTGACGCGTAACATACTGCACCATTATTGTTTTTCGTTTTATCTCCCCGCTGGCTGTCTGGAATTGCACTGAAGAGGAGACTCACCACATATCCTACAAACGGGGATCATACCGCTGCGAGCTATCCACACCAGAGCTGGATTAAGCTCTATAAAGAGTGAGAAAGATCTCTTCTATTTTATTTTGATACCTTTTGGATCACCCTGCACTACCACTGGTTCCATCACTCATCGCCCTCCTCCATATTTCTGCAAGGAGTGGAACCCTACAACTACAGAAACTAACCTAGGATCTAAGTTCTACTATACTGGACTCTGTTGCATTATTACTACCTCAATCAGGACTTTATTTACCTACCTTGCCTATTGGCGCAGTCCCATCTCTTTGTTTGTTTGCCTGGCACACATGAGTGACTACATGCTGCAGGACCTGCGCAACGACTGCCTCACTGGAGCGTGATCGTAAGATGCGCGACTACAAGCACACGCTGGTAGACGCACTGCTGAGGGCATTCCCAGCTGACACCGGGGGCTAAGTGGAAGCACAAGGCAAAGGCAGGAAGAGGTCCCCAACGCAGCTGGAGCACCGCCAGCACCTCAGAAGGCAGAGTTAGCATGGCCAAAATGTGGAAAGGCTTTGTCAGCACACCACAACAACCAGCACCACCTTCTGATATGGAACAGCAGGAGGCAGCATTTCAGCAACATGGTGGAACAGTACATGTGCACACACCTACACGTACTGACTGATGGGTCTGCCCCATTCAACTTCTGGGTCTCCAAATTGGGCACATGGCCTGAGCCTGCCCTTTATGCCTTGGAGGTGCTGGCCTGCCCTGCAGCTATTGTATTGTCTGAACGTGTGTTTAGCACGGCAGTGGGCATTATCACAGACAAGCGCAGCCGCCTGTCCACAGCCAACGTGGACAAGCTCACGTTTATTAAAATGAACCAGGCATGGATCCCACCAGACTTGTCTGTACCTTGTGAAGAATAGACATTTATACCGGCCTCACCCAGCCATTGTTATACTCAAGTGCATTTATTCTTTGTTTTCTTTTTTTATATGTCCCAATATTTTGGGAGCTACCCCAATTAAAAAAAAACCAACAAAATAAATCAAAAAACAGTGTTGGCTACCATCTCCTCCTCCTCCACCGCTGCTTCCACCTACACCACCACAGTCACCTCCTCCTCAACCTATGGGTCACTTAGTATAAACTATATTCACATTAGCAGAGGCTTGTGAAGGCCTTTTCTCCATGCATCAGGACTGCAAGAAATGCACCACAGGCCGCAAATGTTTCTTTTTTTGTATGTTCCAATATTTTGTGGGCTACCACAATAAAAAAAAAAA